CAATCAAGCTGATCAAATTTTTCCAACACTCAGCCTGAAAAAGATCAGAATTGGACTACTTGTCTAAACTCAGCCTTACTAATTTGTCTCATCCAAGTAATGGCTTCATCTCTAAACTCAAAGTATTTGGCTCCCTCTGCTGGCACTACATAGTACTGCTCCAAAACCCATGGACGCAATTTTCATAGTGGGCCAAATCCTAATCTCACACCAAAAAAATAAAAGAGTTCCTGATGCAGAAGTCAGGTTAGGGTGGTTTTGTTTGTCCCCAAGAGAGTGCATCATCAGTTTGGTTCCTTTGGTAAAAATCAATTTTTATTGATCGTTTAATTATATGGATTTTTAGAAAATATACTTATTTCAGTCCTGTAAAATGTAATTAAAACAGATTAAAACAAACTGCCATCATGTTCCATTGATAAACTACTAGATTACTGTAATATGATAAACAATACACGTCATCGTCTCAATCTTCACTTATCATACGCCATAGGAAAAACATCCTTACAACATCATATTCATCATAACCTTATTGTAAATAAAAACATGAAGTTACCTGTTACCATGTAATGACTTAGTAATAACAATGGTTAGTGTAGTTTGTTCACTTATTGAATATTTACATAATACTGGTTTAGAATAAATACCAACTCATTCTTACAGTAGCAGTGTCACAAATTGTCAATGACAGAAAGACCAGGGAGAATGAGAAATATGATCAAAGATGTTTGTACAACAAGAAGTGCAAGAAATAACAGGGCATGAGAATACCAGAGCGCCCTCAGACACCAGTGTGTGTGTTTCCTCTGTAAAGGAATGAAAGCAAGTGCAACTGAGTATGAAAGGAAAAAAGCAGAGCATACATGCATGTTCAGCCAATATGAGAGAAATGACTACTGTATATGAGGATAACGACAGTTGGGTCTATGGTGACCAAGTTCCTAACTTCCCTTCTCTATCTATCTCTCTTCACTCTCCTCATCTCCCGACAGTTGTCCTGAACATTGTCTTTGCCTCCTGTCGGTTGTTGTCATGACGTCTCACCGGTGCCGGGATCTGGACTTTCAGGACCTAGACAGAGTTGAATGTCAGGGTCCTTGTTTGGCCTCATTTAATCTGCCATTAAAGGGATAATTCAACATTTTGGCAAATAAGCGGGTTTTTTTTCTACTTAGCTGCTCCTGTAGACTTCCAATCATTGCGCTAACGTTAGTTAGCAATGGCTCCAGAAATGACCTTTAACTTTCTTCATCTGACTCTGGGTAAGTAGAAAAAAGGGCTCAATTGCCAAAATGTCAACATTTTAGTCATTTAGCAAACGTTCTTATCCAGAGCGATTTACAGGAGCTATTAGGGTTAAGTGCCTTGCTCAAGGGGCACAGACAGATTTTTCTCCTAGTCAGTTCGGAGATTTGAACCAGCGACCTTACGGTTACTTGCCGAACACTCTTAACCGCTAGGTTATCTGCAGCCAACTATCCCTTTAAGAATTAGAAAGAGCACCTCTCACCCATCTCCCCAAACACTCATCCTGTCTGGGATTTTCCAGCTAGATTTTAATGGCCCAGTGTCAAGGACACAGTCAACAAGATGTTAATGGCCTAGTGTTTTCTGACCATGTGACACAGTGGGTTAGGGTAAGACTGTCATGACTGTCAACATGCCAATGTCAGGTCAATTCTCTTTCACCACTGACTCATGAAAAGAAGGCTTTGAACAGGCTCGCACACACACGCACACAAACGCAAAACAAACTACAGTATGAACATTCAGACATGCACATACAGTATGGCACAGAGCATGGTCCAGAGATACAGATACATACACCCAGTCCTGGGGTCCAGAGATCTGTTTCTGTTCTGGGGGAGTCTGGGTTTTTTCACAGGGGATTCGCGATCTGAGATCCCCCTCTCCAGATCGTTGGGACTGTCCCGTTCCATGCCTGAAGGAAAATGATATGAGACACACACACAGGGCCACACAGATGGTGACTGGGTCACAAAGGGGCAGGTTGCAGGAATGTAGCAGTCATGATAAACATCCTAAGAGATCTACTGGAATGTCCATGGCAGAGGGATGGACCGAGTATATAATAGAGACTATGAGACAGCATTCAATGACTGAAATAGCAAGAAAAGAAATGCATTAAATCAGAAATCTGAATTGAAAAGATATCGTAAAACAAGCACATGCATGCAGACATCTATAGAGACAAACCTGTATGTACAGACGTACAGCACACATTCACACATGCAGTGAACCCGCTCACACACACACACACACACACACACTCACACACATACCTGTGTCACATGAGTTTGCTTTCCTGTTGCGATGTGCCTTCAGTGGATAACCATTTGTTCCTCCCTCATCTGATTGAATTTTCAAAATGTCAACCTTAGCCATCACCATCATCAACAACATTTTCATAGCCATGAATGATTTGTTGGTCAGGAAAGGAACCAATTATCATTACAATTAATAATAATTTCTTAAAACCATCTTCAATGATATTTCATCACAGTGATACCTTGACAACCAGCAGGATAGGAAGATTCAAACACCGGCTTGGTAGACGCAGGTGGCACAGGAGGCGGGGTTTTCTCATTGGCTCTTTCCTCAGGTGGAGTGACAGCAGGCGGTGTCTTTGGAGAAGTATTATTTTTACCAGGCTGTGGAGAGAGATTGCATACAGTTAGAGACTGAGACACAGATACAGACTACCGTACACAAACAACGATACAAGAAATTAGAGGACACACGCACACCCACCTTTTCAGGAATGGGAGGACGCTGTCCTTCTGCCCCTCTGTCTTTCTGCACATCCTGACGTCTCCTTCCAGTCTTCTCCTCTTCTACCCCGTCTCCATCTATCCATCCTACATCATCTGTTGATTTCTCTTAAAAGGAAGAAAGTGTGAAACAGAAGTTCAATTGTAATTTTGGGTGTGCTCCAGCTCCAGCTTTTTATTAGACAATTGTAATTTTGTAACAACTCTACGTCCATGGCACATGCAGCACCCAGAGCTATGAAAGCGTCTAGATATTTATGTTGCAGTACCGGAGCTCCCCTGCAGATGTCTCTGTCTCATGCTGGCCAGACTGGGTTTGCTGCTCTGAGAAAGGGGTTCTGGTTTCTGTCCACAGGGGGCGCCCTCCTGCCTGTCCAACGAGACTGTCCCCGTTGTCCCTCTGTCCACCTCCTCCTGTGTGTCTGTCTGAGCGCTGGGCATCGACAGGTCCTGACTGACTAGATCTGTCTGTCTGTCAGGCAGTCTGTCAGGCAGTCTGTCAGTCAGAGAAGTGGAGGACATTGCATGTCCATTGGCACGGGTCTCTGTCTGGGTGTCTGATGCAATCGGTCTGTCAGTGTCTCTGTCCACTGGTCTGGTCTCAAAGCTACTGTCTGAGTCCTTGTCTTCTGCTCCGATACAACTGTACACCATGCTGACCAGGTCTGAAGGCTGGAAGGTGGGAGAGAGAAGGAGAGAGAGAGAGAAAATTGTAAGGCTTACACTGTGTCGTATGCAATAGATTACATAGAAAGTAAAAGCATACATGCTGTACTATGACATCTTATGATAATGAGTGGGATAGACCAGGAGATGACTAGTCAGGTCAAGTAGTCATGTAAAACTCTTGGCCCTATTCATGAGCTAGGGACAGACCTACAGTGGTACGTTCCTACCTGTCTCTGTGTGAGACAGTGGGGGCTGGGGCTGGCCCCCCTCATCCCAGGCAGTGGTACGCTCTGGATGGGCCTGAGGGACGGCATCATCCTCCCATTGGCCCCCACCTCAATGATGGCCTCCACCTTCCCAGGATCCTTAGGGTGCTGAATCATAGAGTACACATTCTCTGAGCCACTACTGAGAGAGAGAGAGAGAGAGAGAGAGAGAGAGAGAGAGAGAGAGAGAGAGAAAGTCAGTTACAATTATGTCAGCAAGTTTGAGAGTCTTATTATAAAAATTATCAGTTTAAAAAAAAATAGTTGTTAGTAACAATTAATGAACCATTTATAACAAGGACCTGTAACCATATTTGAATCAATAAAATGTGTGCATGACTTTTCATGACTCCCTCCGTACTCCGTTTCCTGATTGGAGATGGTGGAGTTGCGATTTTTGCGGAACCCGGAGAAGATTGACAGCACACTGCGTCTCTTCTTCCTCCTCAGGGACTGAGCTTGATGAAGTGATGACAGCTGACTGGTGGGGAGAGATAAAGATATGGGATCGGGTCAGTGAGAGCGCCAGCGAGAGCGCTAGTGTGTGTGTGTGTGTGTGTGTGTGTGTATCGTGAGGAAATCCTACCTGTCAATCAGGACTCTCTTGGTGTAGAAATCAGGCAGTCCATCCTCCAGCAGGTTGACTCCTCCGTTCTCTGAACAGTGCTGAGAGGACAGAGATAACAGGCTTACAATACAACCAAACACACACACACACACACACACACACACACGACAGCCACCAACACAATGTTTCGGTCTCACTGAAACTACTGCAGTGCTGACACAGCCAATTATCATTTACAATGACTGGCTGTAGGACTATTCATTATATAGAGGACTACTTTTGACTAGGGCCCATAAGCCTCTGGGTCAAAAGAAGTGCAATATTTAGAAAAAAGGGTGCCATTTGGGATGCAGCTGAGGAATCTGACAGCCTGCCAATAGAGAGATCTTCTATTCAGAGCTCAACATGATTCCTCATTACCAGCTCACTAACTTGGTTTGTACCGATTTAGAAATGCTTCTAACTACTAAACAAAACAAAGACAAACGTTGCCTCAGTGCATTGCAGATTGGAGAATGTCATAAACAATGCAACAGATTCACAGTCATAAAGGAACTTATTTTTGGAATGCCACTGTCATGAAAAAAAACAGGATGACAAATTTGAGAATAAAAGGAAAGTGGATTTTAACTGTGAGGTAAATAGACAATAATGTAAACCCTGTTTGACTCAGATGCTAGGTCCAGCATTCACCCCTCGCCCATACCCCCTAGGCACTTGTGAAGATATGAGAAGGTTGGACAGGTATTGCATAAACGATATGGTGGAAAGTCCTAGAGGTTGCTATGAGCCAAAAAGGGACTCACTGTGTCCAGAGGGACTTGTCCTCGGCTGTGCCTTCGAGGGGGCCGCGGCCTGGCGTTCGTCACGTGGCGCAGTGGTGCACCATGGGTAGGCAGTGTGGATAGACACTCCCATGATGCTGAGCGGGACAGGGGGGCAGAATGAGACAGGGCTGAGGGAGGAGGGGAGGAGGTGGGATCATCACCCAGACCTGAGAGAGGGAAAGAGAGTTGGGTCAAATCAAATTGTATTTGTCTCATGCGCCGAATACAACAGGTGTAGACTTAACCGTGAAATGCTTACGTACGAGCCTTTTCCCAACAATGCATAGTTAAAAAGTACGAAAAATGTACGAAATAAAAAAGGAAATAGTAACACAATAAAATAATAATAGCGAGGCTATATACAAGGAGTACCAGTACCGAGTCAATGTGCAGGGGTACGAGGTAGTTGAGGTAATATTTTCATGTATGTAGGGGTAAAAGTGACTAGGCAATCAGGATAGATAATAAACAGAGTATCAGCAGCGTATGTGAAGGGTGTGAAAGTGTGTGTGTGTCAATATACATGTATGTGTGTTTTGTGTGTGTGAGCGTATGTAATGTGAGTAAATAGTCGGGGTAGCGACTGTTCAGCAGTATTGTGACTTGGGGGTAGAAGCTGTTCAGGAGCCTTTTTGTCCCAGACTTGGTGCTCCGGTACCGCTTGCAATGCACTAGCAGAGAGAACAGTCTAAGACTTGGGTGGCTGGAGTCTTTGACAATTTTTAGGGCCTTCCTCTGACACCACCTGGTATAGAGGTCCTGGGTGGCACGCACTATTCTCTGTAGCACCTTGTAGTCGGATAACAAGCAGTTGCTATACCAAGCGGTGATGCAGCCAGTCAAGATGCTTTCAATGGTAGACCCGTACAATCCTTTCAGCCTCCTGAGGGGGACGAGGCGTTTTCATGCCCTCTTCACAACTGTGTTGGTTCGTTTGGACCATGATAGGTCCTTAGTGATGTGGACACCGAGGAACTTGAAGCGCTCGACCCGCTCCACTACAGCCCTGTCGATGTGAATGGGGGGCATGCTCGGCCCTTCCGTTTTCTGTAGTCTACGATCAGTTCCTTTCTCTTGCTGACGTTGAGGGAGAGGCTGCCAGGTCTCTGACCTCTTCCCTATAGGCTGTCTCATCGTTGTCGGTGATCAAGCTTACCACCGTTTTATCGTCGCCAAACTTAATGATGGTGTTGGAGTTGTGTGCGGCCACGCAGTTGTGGGTGAACAGGGAGTACAGAAGGGGACTAAGCACGCACCCCTGAGGGGCCCCCATGTTGAGGGCCAGCGTGTGTTGTTGTCTACCCTCACCACCTGGGGGTGGCCCGTTAGGAAGTCCAGGATCCAGTTGCAGAGGGAGGTGTTCAGTCCCAGGATCCTTAGCTTAGTGATGAGCTTGGAGGGCACTATGGTGTTGAATGCTGAGCTGTAGTCAATGAACAGCATTCTCACGTAGGTGTTACTTTTGTCCAGGTGGGAAAGGGCAGTGTGGAGTGCAATATAGATTTCGTCATCTGTGGATCTGTTGGGGCGGTATGCGAATTGGAGTGAGTCCAGTGTGTCTGGGATGATGGTGTTGATGGGAGCCATGACCAGCCTTTTAAAGCATTTCATGGCTACAGATGTGAGTGCTACGAGGCTGTAGTCATTTAGACAGGTTACCTTGGCATTCTTGGGCACAGGGACTATGGTGGTCTGCTTGAAACCTGTAGGTATTACAGACTGGATCAGGGAGAGGTTGAAAATGTCAGTGAAGACACATGCCAGCTGGTCAGCGCACGCTCTGAGTAGGCATCCTGGTAATTCGTCTGGCCCCGCGGCTTTGTTAATGTTAACCTGTTTAAAGGTCTTACTGACATCGGCTATGGAGTGCGTGATCACAGTCGTCCGGAACGGCTGGTGCTCCCATGCAAGATTCGGTGTTGCTTGCCTCGAAGCGAGCATAGAATTGCATTTAGCTCATCTGGTAGGCTTGCGTCACTCGGCAGCCTGCGGCTGGGTTTCCCTTTGTAATTTGTGATAGTTTGCAAGTGAAGTAGGATTCTATCGTAGTCCTGTTTTGACGCTTTTCTTGTTTGATGGTTCGTCGGATGGCGTATAAGGATTTATTATAAGCGTACGAATGAGTGTCCGCTCCTTCAAAGCGGCAGCTCCAGCCTTTAGTTCAGTGCGGATGTTGCCTGTAATCCATGGCTTCTGGTTGAGATATGTACGTATGGTCACTGAGGGGACGACGTCATCGATGCACTTACTAATGAAGCCGGTGACTGATGTGGTAAACTCCTCAATACCATCGGATGAATCCCGGAACATATTCCAGTCTGTGCTAGCGAAACAGTCCTGTAGCTTAGCATCCGTGTCGTCGGACCACTTCCATATTGAGCGAGTCACTGGTACTTCCTGTTTGAGTTTTTGCTTGTAAGCAGGAATCAGAAGGATAGAGTTATGGTCATATTTGCCAAATGGAGGGCGAGGGAGAGCTTTGTATGTATCTCTGTGTGTGGAGTAAAAGTGATTTTTTGCCTCTAGTTGCACAAGTGACATTCAGGTAGAAATTAGGTGCAACGGATTTCAGATTTCCTGCATTAAAATCACCGACCACTAGGAGCGCCGCCTCTGGGCATTTTCTTGTTTGCTTATGGCCCTATACAGCTGGTTCAGTGCGGTCTTAGTGGCAGCATCAGTTTGTGATGGTAAATAGACAGTTACAAAAAATATAGATAAACTCTCTTGATAAATAGTATGGTCTACAGCTTATCATGAGGTATTCTAACTCGGGTGAGCAGAACCTCAAGACTTCCTTAATATTAGAGATTAGAGACAAACCACCACCCTTGAGTTTGCCCGACGCTGCCGTTCTGTCCTGCCAATGTATAGAAAAAACTGCTAGATTTATATTTTCCATGTCCTTGTTCAGATACGTCTCGGAGAAACATAGTATATTACAGTTCTTCAGATCATGTTGATAGGATAGTCTCGAATGGAGCTCGTCCAGTTTATTCTCTGGTGATTGCACGTTCACCAATAGAACAGAGGGTAGAAGCGGTTTATCCATTGATTTAGTTAATCAGGTGAGCTTACTCAGTCTGGTGGACACTGGCCGAATCCTTCGGGTTCTGGCGCTGCGCTTCTTGATGGCAATAGTGTCCTAGTAAGACACAGAAAGGAAAGGCAACGTGATAGAGCAATGGAAAAATGCACTCATACACGTACAACCACCCACACACTTACGATGTTCATGCCCAGACCTTCCTCATCAGGGAAGTCCAGTGAGTCTGTGATTCTGATGGTGTGTCTGCCTGTTCCTCCATCATCCCAACGCTTCACCTGGGACACCTGACGAAGCTGAGAAAACAAAGCCATCTACTTGTTAAGACTACATGAACTGGTGTGAGAAAAAGAGTAGACAAAACTGAGACTGCACTAAGTCACTGTTATAGATACATTTGCATAATTCTCAGCCAGATAAAGACTCTCAGAGACACAGATGGAGAGAGATAGTGTGTGTGTTAGTACCAGGGTTTTGTGAGTGGTGTAGAGCTCCTGAAGGATCTGATCCACTATGGAGTTGGTCAGATAGGAGACCACAGACAGCTTCACCTCCCTGAGAGAGAGAGAGAGAGAGAGAGAGAGAATATTCTTCCTTCAAATTCCTTCTTCTTTAGTCTAGACACTTTTCATCCCCTCTTGCTTTTTTTCCCTCCCACACTTACTCCAGGGCTCTGTTGATGTCCTGTGCTGCTCTTTCCATCAGGGCGGTGCGGATGGTGGAGCGAGGGATGGAGACGCGTTCTGAGATGGAGGAGAGCGGAGGGTTGAGTCTCTCTGCTGCAGAGGAGGACATGGGACACAGCTCCTGACACAGAGACACCATGGAGTCCACTATCACCTGGGAATAAAAGGAAGTCAGTCAATATAGCAATCAATGTGTTAGTCCCTCATTCAATAAGTCCTGTCTCTGATAAGAATCACAGTACCCGTATTTCCTTATCAGCAACCTTGACCAGATTTCCTGGAAGAGAATGCATCTATCCATCTACAGTATCTGTTTCTGAATTAATTCATCATAGTCCAACTCCAACCATGCAGGGGGAGAGGAGTGTTGAGTAGTCTACCTGTAGTTCCTTATCAGCAGCCTTGGTCAGCTCTCCTGCCAGAAAGTCCAATTTCTGTCTGACAGGCCCGTCCACTGAGAGAACATGAACCAGTTCACACAGAGACGGGTATAGCTGAGAAGGAGAGAGAGGAGCTTAGAATATATAAACACACACACACAGTATAGCTGAGAGAGAGTGGTTTATAATACACACTAACACACATACTTACCGCACGGGAGTTTCTGGCCTCCTTCAGGACCTGTCTGGCAGCCTGCAGCTCCTTTCCTTCCTCTAAGCCTCGGAGAACACACACCTGCTGGTGCACACGCACACACAGCCGCTCCATCACCTGACACACACACATACACACTTCCATCAGTCTGTGGAGTTTTGCCTCAAAGATTGTCTTCTCGTAAAGATCACAGTGCACACAGTATTTGTACCTGTTCAGCAGTGCTGGTCACCAGGCCCTGGTGTAGACGCAGAGCCTGTTTCTGAGAGAACCTCTGGGTCTGGTTGTTCCTCAGCAGAGCACGCTGGATCTGACAGACAGAGGGAGATGAAAGACGAAGTGTGAAAGAGAGAAGAAATGGTTTTACAAAGTAAAATGAACAGAGGAGAAATAAGAACATATGAGAGATGGATATGAGACATAAGCTGTTGACAACAGTCATGATGTCATGGTGTGATTAGGTCATGGGGTGATATCACACCCCCAGGTGACCAACCTTGGTCAGTGCTTGGTCAATCTTCTCAGGTGCGCTTCGGTATGCCTGTGTGACATCACTGAGGGGGATGGGCATGTACTGCAGGGTGAAGTTACTGTAAAGAGAGAGTGAGAAAGGGATAAAAGAAGAATCATTAAAAATCCATACCTTTGATATGAATAATTACAGCTACCTTGCCTTTAACTAGTACAGAATGGAAAAGCTTGAGGCAGTAGTGGATATCGCTCTAATATATTGGCCTCTTTATGTGAATCCTTGTCACTAGAACTCACACAGGCAGCCCTGCCGCACAAACAGATCAGAGTGCTGATGAAATGCTGTGCAATGACAAACACTTGACTGCAAGGCAAGCTCAAAGATACATCTGTCTTTGGAATTTTATGACAGTCTCTCGTGTTCAAGTTTGTTTGAGTGAGTGGAAGAGAGGGTCTGTGTGTCTGTGTCTTACTGTTCCAGGGCCCGAGCCACATCTTGGAATCCTGTAGCCGTTGTGTTATTGCGATCCCACGTCACACTCCTTAGTAGGATCAAATGGGGACAGAATTAGATCAATAATTGACTTAAGAACTACGTCTACACGACACCCGTCAAATTACAAATTCAGAATTGCAAAACATGAATAACCTTAGAAGTGCTAATACGTGTGTTCACTACAGAGTGTACTGCACAGCCATAACACAAACCGTCTCATTACATTATCACTGCATTACCTACAGCATAGCAACTGTATAATGAGCTCCCCCATCTCCCTCCCTCCCCCTCTCTTACCTGAGTGTAGCATTGATTTGCAGGGCTTTGCTGAGCATCTTAGCTCCCGCATCCTCCAGGCTGTTCCCGCTCAGGTCTACCTTGCGCAGGCAAGCATTGCTTCCCAGAGCATTCACCAGCACTGTGCCCCGAGAGCGCAGGCGCGAGTCAGCCAGAGAGAGGGACTGCAGGGCCTGAGAAAAGAGGGATGGATAGAGGGATGGAGAAAAGGAGAGAGGGAGAGCGAGAAGGGGCAAGAGAGGTTAATGGCCTAGGCTCTCAAAGTGAAGGATGTGTGTATGTACAATAACAGTCAAAAGTTTGGAGACACCTACTCATTCAAGGATTTTTCTTTCTTTTTACTATTTTTTACATTATATATATATATATATATATATATATATATATAAATATAATAGTGAAGAAAGGTGTGCCTTCTTAAAAGTTAATTTGTGGAATTTCTTTCCTTAATGCATTTGATCCAATCAGTTGTGTTGTGACAAGGTAGGGGGGGTACCTTGTCACAACACAGATATGACAAGGTACCCTATTTGGTAAAAGATAGCCCTATTTGGTAAAAGACCAAGTCCATATTATGGCAAGAACAGCTCAAATAAGCAAAGAGAAACGACAGTCCATCATTACTTTAAGACATGAAGGTCAGTCAATACGGAAAATATCAAGAACTTTTAAAGTTTCTTCAAGTGCAGTCGCAAAAACCATCAAGCACTATGATGAAACTGGCTCTCATGAGGATTGCCACAGGAATGGAAGACCCAGAGTTACCTCTGCTGCAGAGGATAAGTTCTTTAGAGAGTTACCAGCCTCAGAAATGGCAGCCCAAATAAATGCTTCACAGAGTTCAAGTAACTGACACATCTCAACATCAACTGTTTAGAGGAGACTGTGTGAATCAGGCCTTCATGGTCAAATTGCTGCAAAGAAACCACTACTAAAAGGACACCAATAAGAAGAAGAGGCTTGCTTGGGCCAAGAAACACGAGCAATGGACATTAGACCGGTAGAAATGTGTCCTTTGGTCTGGAGTCCAAATTGGAGATTTTTGTTTCCAACCGCTGTGTCTTTGTGAGATGTGGTGTGGGTGAACGGATGATCTCCGCATGTGTATTTCCCACCGTAAAGCATGGAGGTGGAAGTGTTATGGTGTGGGGGTGCTTTGCTGGTGACACTGTCTGTGATTTATTTAGAATTCAAGGCACACTTAACCAGCATGGCTACCATACGATACGCCATCACTTCTGGTTTGGGCTTAGTGGGACAATCATTTTTTTTTCAACAGGACAATGACCCAACACACCTCCAGGCTGTGTAAGGGCTATTTTACCAAGAAGGAGAGTGAGGGAGTGCTGCATCAGATGACCTGGCCTCCACAATCCCCCAACCTCAACCCAATTGAGATGGTTTGGGATGAGTCGGCCCGAAGTGAAGGAAAAGCAGCCAACAAGTGCTCAGCATATGTGGGAACTCCTTCAAGACTGTTGGAAAAGCATTCCAGGTGAGGCTGGTTGAGAGAATGCCAAGCGTGTGCAAAGCTGTTATCAAGGCAAAGGGTGGCTATTTGAAGAATCTCAAAGAAAAAAATATTTTGGATTTGGTTACTACATGATTCCATGTGTTATTTCATCGTTTTTATGTCTTCACTACTGTTCCACAATGTAGAAAATAGTAAAAATAAAGAAAAACCCTTGAATGGGTAGGTGTGTCCAAACTTTTGACTGGTACTGTATGTATGTGTGAGTGCGTGAGGCGCGGGTTGACTCAAATAACCGTGGGGACTGCGGGTTATCTGCAGGGCGGTCGGGTTTAGGGTCATGAAATAGTGTGTATGAATGGAGGTGGCGGGTTGAATAAAGAGAAAACAACCACTAAAAAAAATCCATGAATGTATAATTCTTGTGCAATAACGTGCATTCGGAAAGTATTCAGACCCCTTTACTTTTTCCACATTTTGTTACGTTACAGCCTTATTCTAAAAATCATTAAATTGATTTCCTCAATCTACACACAATACCACATAATGACAGAGAAAACAGGTGTTTAGACATTTCTGCAAATGTTTTAAAAATAAAAAACCAAAATACCTTAAGTATTCAGACCCTTTGCTATGAGACTCGAAATTGAGCGCAGGTGCATCCTGTTTCCATTGATCATCCAAAAAATGTCTGCTGCATTGAAGGTCCCCAAGAACACAGTGGCCTCCATTTTTAAATGGAAGAAGTTTGGAACCACCAAGACTCTTCCGAGAGCTGGCCGCCTGGCAAAACTGAGCAATTGGGGGAGAAGGGCCTTGGTCAGGGAGGTGACCAAGAACCCGATGGTCACTCTGACAGAGCTCCAGAGTTCCTCCGTGGAGATGAGAAAACCTTCCAGAAGGACAACCATCTCTGCAGCACTCCACCAATCAGGCCTTTATGGTAGAGTATCCAGACGGAAGCCACTCCTCAGTAAAAGGCACATGACAGCCTGCTTGGAGTTTGCCAAAAGGCACCTATAGACTCAGACCATGAGAAACAAGTTTCTCTGGTCTGATGAAACCAAGATGGAACTCTTTGGCCTGAATGCCAAGCATCACATCTGGAGGAAACCTGGCATAATCTCTAAGGTGAAGCATGGTGGTGGCAGCATCATGCTGTGGGGATGTTGCTCAGCGGCAGGGACTGGGAGAATAGTCAGGATCGAGGGAAAGATGAACAGAGCAAAGTACAGAGAAATCCTTTATGAAAACCTGTTCCTGAGAGCTCAGGACCTCAGACTGGGGTGAAGGTTCACCTTACAACAGGACAACGACCCTAAGCACACAGCCAAGACGACGCAGGAGTGGCTTCGGGACAAGTCTCTGAATGTCCTTGAGTGGCCCAGCCAGAGCCCGGACTTGAACCCGATCGAACATCTTTGGAGAGACCTGAAAATAGCTTTGCAGCGACGCTCCCCATCCAACCTGACAGAGCTTGAGAGGATCTGCAGAGAAGAATGGGAGAAACTCCCCAAATACAGGTGTGCCAAGCTTGTAGCGTCATACCCAAGAAGACTCAAGGCTGTAATTGCTGCCAAAGGTTCTTCAACAAAGTACTAAGTAAAGGGTCTGAATACTTATGTAAATGTTATATTTCCTTTTTTTGGGAACTTGGGCTGAAAAAGTTAACGTTGAGACAAAATTAAATGAATTTACAGTGAGGGAAAAAAGTATTTGATCCCCTGTTAATTTTGTACGTTTGCCCACTGACAAAGACATAAATCAGTCTATAATTTTAATGATAGGTTTATTTGAACAGTGAGAGACAGAATAACAACAAAAAAATCCAGAAAAACGCATGTCAAAAATGTTATAAATTGATTTGCATTTTAAATGAGGGAAATAAGTATTTGACCCCTCTGCAAAACATGACTTAGTACTTGGTGGCAAAACCCTTGTTGGCAATCACAGAGGTCAGACGTTTCTTGTAGTTGGCCACCAGGTTTGCACACATCTCAGGATGGATTTTGTCCCACTCCTCTTTGCAGATCTTCTCCAAGTCATTAAGGTTTCGAGGCTGACGTTTGGCAACTCGAACCTTCAGCTCCCTCCACAGATTTTCTATGGGATTAAGGTCTGGAGACTGGCTAGGCCACTCCAGGACCTTAATGTGCTTCTTCTTGAGCCACTCCTTTGTTGCCTTGGCCGTGTGTTTTGGGTCATTGTCATGCTGGAATACCCATCCACAACCCATTTTCAATGCCCTGGCTGAGGGAAGGAGGTTCTCACCCAAGATTTGACGGTACATGTCCCCGTCCATCGTCCCTTTGATGCGGTGAAGTTGTCCTGTCCCCTTAGCAGAAAAACACCCCCAAAGCATAATGTTTCCACCTCCATGTTTGACGGTGGGGATGGTGTTCTTGGGGTCATAGGCAGCATTCCTCCTCCTCCAAACACGGCGAGTTGAGTTGATGCCAAAGAGCTCGATTTTGGTCTCATCTGACCACAACACTTTCACCCAGTTCTCCTCTGAATCATTTGGATGTTCATTGGCAAACTTCAGACGGGCCTGTACAGTTGGGAAAACAATTATTTAAAATAGCCACCAATTGTGCAAGTTCTCCCACTTAAAAAGATGAGAGGGGCCTGTAATTTTCATCATAGGTACACGTCAACTATGACAGACAAATTGAGAAAAAAAATCCAGAAAATCACATTGTAGGATTTTTTATGAATTTATTTGCAAATTATGGTGGAAAATAAGTATTTGGTCACCTACAAACAAGCAAGATTTCTGGCTCTCACAGACCTGTAACTTCTTCTTTAAGAGGCTCCTCTGTCCTCCACTCGTTACCTGTATTAATGGCACCTGTTTGAACTTGTTATCAGTATAAAAGACACCTGTCCACAACCTCAAACAGTCACACTCCAAACTCCACTATGGCCAAGACCAAAGAGCTGTCAAAGGACACCAGAAACAAAATTGTAGACCTGCACCAGGCTGGGAAGACTGAATCTGCAATAGGTAAGCAGCTTGGTTTGAAGAAATCAACTGTGGGAGCAATTATTAGGAAATGGAAGACATACAAGACCACTGATATTCTCCCTCAATCTGGGGCTCCACACAAGATCTCACCCCGTGGGGTCAAAATGATCACAAGAACGGTGAGCAAAAATCCCAGAACCACACGGGGGGGGGGGGGACCTAGTGAATGACCTGCAGAGAGCTGGGACCAAAGTAACAAAGCCTACCATCAGTAACACACTACTTCGCCAGGGACTCAAATCCTGCAGTGCCAGACGTGTCCCCCTGCTTAAGCCAGTACATGTCCAGGCCCGTCTGAAGTTTGCTAGAGTGCATTTGGATGATCCAGAAGAGGATTGGGAGAATGTCATATGGTCAGATGAAACCAAAATAGATTTTTTTGGTAAAAACTCAACTCGTTGTGTTGGGAGGACAAAGAATGCCGAGTTGCATCCAAAGAACACCATACCTACTGTGAAGCATGGGGGTGGAAACATCATGCTTTGGGGCTGTTTTTCTGCAAAGGGACCAGGACGACTGATCCGTGTAAAGGAAAGAATGAATGGGGCCATGTATCGTGAGATTTTGAGTGAAAACCTCCTTCCATCAGCAAGGGCATTGAAGATGAAACGTGGCTGGGTCTTTCTGCATGACAATGATCCCAAACACACCGCCCGGGCAATGAAGGAGTGGCTTCGTAAGAAGCATTTCAAGGTCCTGGAGTGGCCTAGCCAGTCTCCAGATCTCAACCCCATAGAACATCTTTGGAGGGAGTTGAAAGTCTGTGTTGCCCAGCGACAGCCCCAAAACATCACTGCTCTAGAGGAGATCTGCATGGAGGAATGGGCCAAAATACCAGCAACAGTGTGTGAAAACCTTGTGAAGACTTACAGAAAACATTTGACCTGTGTCATTGCCAACAAAGGGTATGTAACAAAGTATTGAGAAACTTTTGTTATTGACCAAATACTTATTTTCGACCATAATTTGCAAATAAATTCATTAAAAATCCTACAATGTGATTTTCTGGAATTTTTTTCTCATTTTGTCTGTCATAGTTGACGTGTACCTATGATGAAAATTACAGGCCTCTCTCATCTTTTTAAGTGGGAGAACTTGCACAATTGGTGGCTGACTAAATACTTTTTCCCCCCACTGTATATGTGCTTTCTTGAATAGGGGGACCTTGCGGGCGCTGCAGGATTTCAGTCCTTCACAGCGTAGTGTGTTACCAATTGTTTTCTTGGTGACTATGGTCCCAGCTGCCTTGAGATCATTGACAAGATCCTCCCGTGTAGTTCTGGGCTGATTCCTCACCGTTCTCATGATCATTGTAACTCCACGAGGTGAGATCTTGCATGGAGCCCCAGGCCGAGGGAGATTGACAGTTCTTTTGTGTTTCTTCCATTTGCGAATAATCGCACCAACTGTTGTCACCTTCTCCCAAGCTGCTTGCCGATGGTCTTGTAGCCCATTCAGGCCTTGTGTAGGTCTACAATCTTGTCCCTGACATCCTTGGAGAGCTCTTTGGTCTTGGCCATGGTGGAGAGTTTGGAATCTGATTGATTGCTTCTGTGGAGAGGTTTCTTTTATACAGGTAACAAGCTGAAATCTGGACACTGACTGTAGGTCTATAACCTCTCACATAGCCTAATATAATATTAACTCCTGCAGAATTAAGCATTTCTTGCAGAAAAAAATGATACACCAAATGCACATTTTGACTTGGGAACAGGAGTGGAGAAATATTATTTATTTATTTCAGCATCTTGAGAGAATGAATGCACGGTTAGGGACCGTCTGTAAAGGTGGCTGTGCAGTCTTTATCAGCATCATAAAAGCTGATAGTATTTCAACCACATAAAATATGCATCCAAGCAGAACAGAAATCAAAACATGTTGGGTGGTTATAACAGCTTTTAAGTTCCTTAAAACCGGTCATACTTACAGTGCATTTGGAAAGTATTCAGACTTTTTGCACATTTTGCTACGTTACAGACTTATTCTAAAATTGATAAACTGTTTTTTCCCCTCATTAATCTACACACAATACCCCATAATGACAAAGCAAAAACAGATGTTTAGACATTTTTGCAAATGTATAATAAAAATAAAAGATGAATTATAACATTTACATAAGTATTCAGACCCTTTACACAGTACTTTGTTGAAGCACCTTTGGCAGCGATTTTAGCCTCAAGTGTTCTTGGGTATGACGCTACAAGCTTGGCACACCTGTATTTGGGGAGTTTCTCCCATTCTTCTCTGCAGATCCTCTCAAGCTCTGTCAGGTTGGATGGGGAGCGTCGCTGCAAAGCTATTTTTCAGGTCTCTCCAGAGATGTTCGATCGGGTTCAAGTCTGGGCTCTGGCCAGGCCACTCAAGGACATTCAGAGACTTGTCCCGAAGCCACTCCTGCGTTGTCTTGGGTGTGTGCTTAGGGTCGTTGTCCTGTTGTAAGGTGAACTTTCACCCCAGTCGGAGGTCCTGAGCTCTCTGGAGCAGGTTTTCATCAAGGATCTCTGTACTTTGCTCCGTTTATCTTTGCCTCGATCCTGACTAGTCTCCCAGTCCCTGCCACTGAGAAACATCCCCACAGCATGATGCTGCCACCACCATGCTTCACCATAGGGATGGTGCCAGGTTTCCTCCAGACGTGACGTTTGGCATTCAGGCCAAGGAGTTAAATATTGGTTTCATCAGACCAGAGAATCTTGTTTCTCATGGTCAGAGTACTTTAGGTGCCTTTTGGCAAACTCCAAGCAGGCTGTCATGTGCCTTCTACTGAGGAGTGGCTTCCGTCTGGCCACTCTACCATAAAGGCCTTATTGGTGGAGTGCTGCAGAGATAGTTGTCCTTCTGGAAGGTTCTCCCATCTCCACAGAGGAACTCTGGAGCTCTGTCAGAGTGACCATCGGGTTATTGGTCACGTCCCTGACCAAGGAATCTCCCCTGTTTGCTCAGTTTGGCCGGGTGGTCAGCTCTAGGAAGAGTCTTGGTGGTTCCAAACTTCTTCCATTTAAGAACGATGGAGGCCACTGTGTTCTTGGGGACCTTCAATACTGCAGACATTTTTTGGTACCCTTCCCCAGATCTGTGCCTCGTCACAATCCTGTCTCGGAGCTCTACGGACATTTCCTTCGACCTCATCGCTTGGTTTTTGCTCTGACATGCACTGTCAACTGTGGGACCTTATCTAGACAGGTGTGTGCCTTTCCAAATCATGTCCAATTAATTGAATTAAAATGGATTTGACCCCAACCCTGTTAGACATATTATCTGAATTATGTCAAATATGAAGACGTGCAATGGAGTGGCCTTTAGAGGCTTTATAGTTGTAGAAACATCAAGGATGATCAATGGAAACAGGAGGCACCTGAGCTCAATGTCGAGTATCATAGCAAATGGTCTGAATACTTATGTAAATAAGGTATTTATGTTTTTATTTTTAATAAATGTGCCAACATTTCTACAAAGCTTTTTTTGTTCTCTCATTATCGGGTATTGTGTGTAGATTGATGAGGAAAAAAATGTATTTAATCAATTTTAGAATAAGGCTCTAACGTAACAAAATAAATGTGGAAAATATAAGGGGTCTGAATACTCTCAGAATGCACTGAACAAAAATATAAATGCAATATGTAAAGTGTTGGTCCCATGTTGGTCCTACTTCTTTTTTTTTTAGGTATCTGTGACCAACAGATGCATATCTGTATTGCCAGGCATGTGAAATCCATAGATTAGACTTAATGAATTAATTTCAATTGACCGATTTCCTTTTATGAACTATAAGTCAGTAAAATCTTTGAAATTGTTGCATGTTGCGTTTATATTTTTGTTCAGTGTATTTATATTCCTGACTCTGACATTGCTCGTCCTGATATTTCTTAATTCCTTTATTAAAATTTTTGGGATGTGTGTGTATTGTTTTGTATTCTTAGGTATTACTGCACTGATGGAGCTAGAAATACAAGCATTTCACTGCACCTGCGATAACATCTGCTAAATATGTGTATGCGACCAATACAAATTAAATTTGATCTAAAAAGGACAGTAAAAAAAAAAAAACACTGCCATCTCTGACTGTACAACGCATTTTTTTATATTTGCGGGTTAGGGTCGGGTGCAGGCCTTAGATTTTCACTTTATCACGTATAGTCGGGCGGTTGCGAATAGGTTATTAGCAATTGCGGGTGGGTGAACAAACAGCTGACCAGCACATCGCTAGTGTGTGTGTGTATGTGTTCATGTGTGTTCATGTGTGCGTGTATGTGTGTGTCTTTGAGTGCTGTATGTTTGTGTTACATTTGTGAGTTATCAGCATCAACAGCAGTAAATAATGGCGTTAGTCCATCATCATACTAGGGTATGACAGTGTGGGTGAGAAGGTTAAACATGCAAGTACATAAATATAGCTGTATCGTACGTGTATGGAGTGCGAAGGAGAGTTTGTGTGTCTCAGTGGGTGTGCGTTCAAATGCATTATAAAACTCACACACTCTTCCTCTTGCACTAGCTGAACTAGTTTCTGCAGAATTTCATGTAGTACCCTGCAGACAAAGAATTGGCAGTGTTAGACAAAATCTTCCCAGTGCGTGTTTGAGTGCCTGTGGCGGATGGATTACTGTCCCTACCTGCCCTTGATGTTGAAGTTCTTGCCCAACAGCAGGTGTTTGAGGGAGGGGTGTCTGGAGAAGGCTGGGATGACCCCCAGCAGGTCACCATCCAACCCTGAGATCCAAGACAAAAACACAGAATAATCTATATGAACTGCCATATGTTAGCCCTGAAAAGGCCCATAAGACTGTTGCATGCATAAGGGTCACTCTCTCACCGTTGTCTGATATGTCGAGAGTTCCGATGCAGGCCACTCTAGGAAACAGCTCCTGGAGCACCCCGGCACCTGCAGACCTCAGCTGAAGACGAGAGAAAAATGTAGAGAGCGCTAGAAGAAAAGGAGAGAGATCAAGAAGAGAGAAAAAAGGAGAGAGAAAAGGAGAGAGAGAGAGAGAAAACAGGAGAGAGAGAAAAAGGAGAGCGCGAGAGCGGGGGGAAAGGAGAGAGAAAAGGAGAGAGAAAAGGGGAGAGAAAAGGGGAGAGAGAGCAAGAGCGCGAGAGAAAGAAAAGGAGAGAAAAAATGAGAAAATGAGAGAGCGAGAGAGCGAGAGAGAGCGCGAAAGAAAAGTATGCGAGAGAAAAAGATAGGAAAGATAAAAGTAAGCGAGAGAAAGGAATGAAGAGAGATAGGAAAGAAGATATAGATGAAAGGAGAGATAGATAAATGGGAATTAATATTAGATCCCTTGTTTTTTTCCTTCTCCTCTCCCTTTTTTTTCCTTCTCTCTCTCTCTCTCTCCCCTTTTTTTCCCTCTCTCTTCTCTCTCTCTCTCCCTTCTACTCTCTCCCCCCTTCGCTAACTCTCTCTCTCCCCCTTCCTTCTCTCTCTTCTCTCTACTCTCTCTCCCCTTCTCTCCTCTCTCTCTCGTCTCTCTCTCTCTCTCTCTCTTCTCGCTCTCTCTCTCGATCTCTCTTCTCATCTCTTCCTCCCTTCTCTCTCTCTCTTCCCTCTATCTCTCTCTCTCCCCTTCGCTCCTCTACTCTCTCCCCCTTCTCTCTCTCTCTCTCCCCCTTCCTCTCTCTCTCTCTCCCCCCTTCTCCTGCTCGCTCTCCCCTCCCTTCTCTCTCTGCTCTCTCTCTCGCGCTCTGCTCTCTCTCGCTCTCTCTCTCTCTCTCTTCCCTTCTCTGCTCTTCCTCTCTCTCTCCTCTCTCTCCTTCAGATCTAGAAGACTACATCCACCAACATAGAGGCAAGAAGGCAAGGTAATTTCACACTGTAGCAGATGGGCACTTCACCTCACAGCCGCTGATGTCCAAGTGTAAATCAGTGATGTGAGGATTGGAAGACAGGCCCAGGAAGAGAGCTCTGAAAAATGGAAGGAGGGAGAGAGAAGCGATCAAGAAAGGTCAATGCATAGCAAACTAATTTCATATATTTATTTCTTAATTACTGTGACTGATTTTCAATAGATTTTCCTAAAATGAAACCATGTGGCTTTTCTATTCACACACTGAGTGGTTCTGCAGCTGTCTGAAAGGATTTTGGAGAAAAGGAGCTTAGAGATTACTAAAACTACTTCGCCAAGGACCAGTAAGTGCTTAAAGTGAAATGCACGGGCCTGGTAAAAAAATTAATAAAAATCTAAACTGGATAGGAAGTTTAGATTTACCAACAAACATGTTAAAGAATTCATGTAGGGTAGGTAAATAAATTATAGACTGAGGTAGCTGGTCCTGAGTGAGTCCGTCATTTTGGCAGTTGGCAAGAGCGGAGTCCATATCTCACCTCAGGGTGTCTAGAGGAATCTTCATAGAAGACAGGTTGATGTGTGTGAGACTGAAGGCTGAGCTGAAGAACTGCCTGAAGACAGGAAGAGTCTCCCTCACTTTCCTGAAAGAGAAAGAGACAGGGAGAGAGGTAGAGAGGGGGAGAGAGAGATTAAGAAGTGAGAAGAATAGACATTAAGGCTAGGTCACCATTATTTCACAGTCAACTGCAGTAAACGGCAAGCCTTCAAATAACTACTATGATGTCAGAGAATGTGAACAACACGAAACAGTTTAACTTACAAAAATTGTTTTGTATCAAACCATCTGCTAACAACTAGGCGTGAAATATTTTCCTTGTGGACCCAGACACACACTTCAGCGGCCCAGATGTGGTTGTACACCAGATGAAGAATAAACTAATTCTGAGCATGTCGAGAAAAGTCCTCTGAGCCATTGCAGATAACAGAAGCATCCAGGCATTTAATTGTAATACAGGGGACGGTATGTTCCTAAATTGTAGAACAGCATAACTAACACCCATTTTAGCCTGACCATTCAAATAATTAAACAGAGGGGGGAGCGGAAGTGAAGAGGCAGAAAGAGAAAGAAAGAGCAACAGAGAGAGAAAGTGATAGTGGACAAGGGGTTTATGGGGGCTCATGTCAGAGCATGACATTATGATAACAGGTCTGTGTTTCCAACATGTGCTATCCGACCTATGGGCTCATCAGCATAAATCCTGTCAGACGGGGCTGCAGGCAGGGGACTTCGGCTGGCTTTAGTCACACAGAGATGAGCAACAGATACACACAGCACAGAAGGGCCAGGGTAAACACTGAACACTGTTACAGTCAATGCTCTGGAGGAAAGAGAGAAAGAGAGAGAGCGAGAATAGCGCTGGCTGTTCATATTCATGAGTCTTTCTCTCTTATCAGCTCAAAAAGATTTATGTCCCGTTTCATGTGGCACGATCAGAGCTCAGGCAGAACCACCACGGCTCCAGTGACTGCTGCCACACATACAGCTGATTACCATGACCTAGTGAAGGACAGACACACAGAGAGGGAGGGAGAGCGAGTGAGCGAGAAAACAAGCAAGAGAGAGATACAATAGAGAAAGAGAGGCATGAGAGGATGGAGAGGAGGGTGAGATAGAGATTTATATTAATAGTAGAATGAGAGAGAGAGAAATAGTAGAGAGAAGAGAGCTGGAGCGAGGGAGGTGAGTGGGTGAGCGAGAAAATGCTGGCGCGATAGCCTGGGGATTTGAACAATAATTCCCTTCTAAAATTAGTCTCATTTTTCAGAAACTTTTCCATAATGGAGTAATCTGCGGAGCGGAGATGGGGTTGCTGCTCTGCCAGTCCTGAGGGAGGCCAGATGAGAGATGATCTGCTGCTCCAGCTTGCTCTGATCCACACTAGTTAAACACTGGCCCAGAGACAGAATAGATAGATGAGGGGGCAACTTGTACAGTTGTACTAATTTCTATCTAATTCGGTCTAGGTGGTAGGTACAGGAGTAAATGCCCATCTGTGATAGAATGTCTTGTGCTGACTCTTTACTGGAATGTCTACATGGATACTTTCCTCAGGGATGATAAGCTGTCATGTAGGCTTACTGGTGGTGGCCCCTCAGGGATAAATAAAGTTAAGTGAATAGAATTGGATTAAGGTCCATTCAAGGGGATAGACAGACACCTCACCTCTGAGAGAAGCAGTTCTTGGAGAGATTCAGGTAAGAGAGATCAGCACAACATCCCCTCAACAGAGCGCCAAATAACTGTTATGGAGAGAAACCAATATATTGTCATTAGTAAATCACATTGTGTTTACACAACAACAAATACATACAAATATCAATCATGTAAATAAGCTTGGCAGTTTCATTATCATTTTGCTAACAGTCAAGACTACAATCTGTTAGCAAAAATGCAAATGTTCTGACAAATCTATTAACAATAAAATAAAATAAAATGTAAATTTAACAAAGTCCACCAGACTCTCGACAGGGGAGATTAGACTGGAGAAAACAAGATATGAAACCAAGTGAGTGAGTTGGGAACGAGTAATGACAGAACAGAAGCTTTCTAATATTCTATACAAAATTCATGCTCAACATTAGAGGCATATTCTTCCTGTTTTTAGGGCAGAATGTTCCTCCCAAAGTTATACAGATGAAATTTCATGCTCATACGTTTGTAGAACCACAGAACTGTTATATAGCCCAATTAGCACATCCACACTTCCACTTCAATTACTACAAAGTCCACTTCATTATGCGTGTTAGTTAGACTATCCTGATCATGGATCAGACAGCGTATGTAAGAGTCTAACTGTATGATCAAAGCATGAAGCACTCAGAATGGAGACACTACTAACCGAGTCCACAGTGCAGTCGGTCCCAGAGAGGTCCAGATGAACCAGGCAATTTGTCTGGGCTAGGAACATGTACATGTTCTGGAGAGTGATAAACAGAGAGACAGTCAAAGTGTGTTTGTGTGTGTTGCATGCGTGTACTGTACATGTGGTGTTTATGTGTGGGTCTCACCGTGGCATCCTCCCCAGACAGAATCCCAGGGTTCTTACTCAGGTCCAGGTGAAGCAGAGAGTTGGTGTAGTCATCACTGGAGCAGAGGGCTTGGGAGAGAGACACCACAGCTGAGAGAGATGGAAGGAGTGAATTAAAAAATAGTCTGTTGACATAGAGAAATACAGTACCTGCAGCAGGGGAGGGAAAGAGTACCAGATCAGCACTATTAACCAGACAACTATCAGAGCCAACCACTAATCACATAAAACTCTCCATCTGAAACCAAAACACAAATATGCCTATCGGCCCATTACATTAGAGCAGCCCATTAAAATCTATTTTTAAATCTCTTCCCTGCAGAAAATACAGTTTCTTCTTAAGAGAAACAAAATAGTAACAAGAGCAGGTTTAGTAAGAAAGTGAACTCAATAAATCCTAATTAATAACGTTTGGCGAAGATGACAGCAGACTTGCAGTACAAGACTTTGTACTTTCATGTTGGCTTTGAAGCCTGGAACGAAAGGCTACAGTTAGAGCAATGGAGCAAAGACTGTTAGTAACTCAGCCCTGTGCTATACCAAACTGTTAGTAACTTAGCCCTGTGCTATAACAAACTGTTAGGAACAAACATACAGTGGCAGAACTAACTCTGCTCTACCAAACTACTACCACCACATAGTAGATTATGTTCATCCCTAATTCACCCAGATTAAAGAGGAAATTAGCACACAGCAGACAGGCATGTGGCACACTGAGGAGGCAATCCTCTACCCATCAATGTGCTACCTCATGTTCACATTTTATGACTGTCTTTTTGATGAGTCTTCTGTAAATCTATCTAGTTTCAACGTTTATTTGTCACGTGCACGGTGTAAAACAGTACAGTGAAATGTTTACTTGCAAGCTCTTTCCCAACAATGCAGTATTCACTATCAAGGTGAGAGGAAATATATATAAATAGATTTGGATCATAAATGTTCTCTTCACAAACATAAGAGAACATAAACCATAGGACCCTGTATGGCTCATGAATCCCATGAGTAGGGCCCAGAGTCTTATCTTCTCTCCTGAAAACCCCAGGCCCTATATGAGGTCATGAGGTTTCGAGAGCAGTGGAGCGGTGACCACCACACGGGGGCACTGTGGCCCAGGGGACAGAGGGAGGAACACACCCTTAGAGGAGAGGGACGTCTTGGAGAGGTTGAGCAGACGAAGACCTTTGTTGAGGCGACACACCAGCTGGATGAGGTTGGACACTCCTGGAGAGAAACACATATGGGAGTAAGTGTCAGAGTGAAAGAAACACACACACACACACGCACAGATCAGAGAAAACACACACCCTTGACAACACCATATACATGGTCAGCAAAATCAACACATACACATATGTGCATAATCTACACAGACAAAAAACTAATGTAGTACATGGTGTCTACAGGCACACAGACAGTGATGTGAGTGGGAGTGACATGTGTCAGAAAGGCACATTCTGATGTACTAATGAGAGTTCTTGGCACGCAGATGACCCTGACTCACAATGGAGGACACACACACACACACAATCTGCAGAGTAAACAGCAAACACTGAGAGATGCACCCAGACTGGCATTCACACACATTACGTATTCTGAAAAAGAGTGAGTGAGTGACAGAGTGCCTCTGAGGCTCCAGTACCTTGGTTGTCCAGGGGGTTGTGGGCCAGGTTGAGCGAGTGGATCACAGAGGCAGGGTTTTCAGACAGAGCTGTCGCCATTTTCTGAGGGAAATCTCTAAAATAGTAAATATAGAGAGAAGATGGATTAAATATTGTTTTGATGCTTCCTGTGATGCATTCTACATCAGAGTATATCTGAGTCATGGTAGAGAAAAAATCTATACTCAGGAGTGAAGTCGGAATGGCAAGAGAAGAATAAGACTGATAAAAGAGGAGATGAAAGGGAGAGAAATGACAGATCAGGAGGATGGGTGAGACTCACGATTTGAGGCCAGCGTTCTCCAGAGTGAGTTCTTCCAGACTGCTGGACTTACTGATGGTGTGAAGGACCTGCTCCACCACCTCTGACCCCTGGGGAGACACAGAGAGAGACTGTTACATGAACAGGACCAGCTCCTGTTCTAACCAACTAGGAAATAATTAAACCCTGGTAGCCTTGTCTAAACGCAGACAGACAACTAGATAACACATGCAATCAGTAATGTAAAGTGAATAGTTACAATGCGCATGTCTTTGCAGTAGAGCTTGGTGAACCAAGTGTTGTACGCCATGGAAGCCACAATCACCGCCAGGTCCCTGAAATAGACACACACACACAATTTCAGCCTTAGATTTAAAAACAATAGAGCCGTATCAACTCGAAATACTAATTAAAAACTTAATAATACATTCCTACAGCCAAACAAAATGTTTTTCTCCAGCAAAACAACTTCAGAGAGAGCCGTAGGGATGGATTGAGAAATTATGTATGATTCTGCAGCACACTCTCCCTGTTGGGGGGAGGGAAAGAGTGAGAGAGAGCGAGAGTGATAACGAGAGAGCCCGAGGAAGGAGAGAGGGCAGAGAGGAGGATCGATGGGCTGACTGAGGGAGGCCAGGTCAGTGGATTACTACAGTGTGAGGATCCACAGAGCCATGTTTTGATCCTGGCCAATGGCCTAAAACTGTTTTATCCTGCCCAACACACCATGTGTCCAGTAGGAGGGAGAGACAGAGGGACGGAGGGAGAGAGACAGCGGGACGGAGGGAGAGAGACAGCGGGATGGAAAGAGAGAGACAGGGGGGCGGAGGGAGAGAGACAGGGGGGCGGAGGGAGAGAGACAAGCGGGATGGAAAGAGAGAGACAGGGGGGGCGGAGGGAGAGAGACAGGGGGGCGGAGGGAGAGAGACAGGGGGGCGGAGGGAGAGAGACAGGGGGGCGGAGGGAGAGAGACAGGGGGGCGGAGGGAGAGAGACAGGGGGGCGGAGGGAGAGAGACAGGGGGGCGGAGGGAGAGAGACAGGGGGGCGGAGGGAGAGAGACAGGGGGGCGGAGGGAGAGAGACAGGGGGGACGGAGGGAGAGAGACAGGGGGACGGAGGGAGAGAGACAGGGGGACGGAGGGAGAGAGACAGGGGGGCGGAGGAGAGAGACAGGGGGACGGAGGGAGAGAGACAGCGGGATGGAAAGAGAGAGACAGGGGGGCGGAGGGAGAGAGACAGGGGGACGGAGGGAGAGAGACAGGGGGACGGAGGGAGAGAGACAGCGGGACGGAGGGAGAGAGACAGGGGGGCGGAGGGAGAGAGACAGGGGGACGGAGGGAGAGAGACAGGGGGACGGAGGGAGAGAGACAGGGGGACGGAGGGAGAGAGACAGCAGGACGGAGGGAGAGAGAGACAGCGGGACAGAGGGAAAGAGGCAGAGAGCGAGAGAGAAAGAGGCAGAGAGAGGAAGCAACGAACAGAGAGACCAATAGAGAGAAAGTGCAACAGATTAAGAGAGATCAAGCTCTTAAAGGGGAATGTCCTCCATTACATTAGGGCCCAGTCCAGTGTATGGCTGAGGGCTGTGTTCTCATTTCACATGCCATCATGGAGAGGACTTCACTCTGGCTGGCCAAAGGGTGTGTGTGGTGTGCGTGTGTGTACATTCCACAACCTCTGCCAGTGTTCCCCACCAGCCAACAGCAGCCCCCTCATACACTGGATTACTGTCACGATTTCCCTGAATCAACAATTCCATTAAAAGGTTGAGCTTCTCTTCTAGCCCATGTGTAGAAGAGAACTGTCTACGAGTGCTATCGGTCCCCTTGGGGCCTGTAGAGCACTAGAGCATGACAGAGTGCCAGCTATACTCCAGAGACACACACACACACACACACACACACACACAGGAACCAGGTTTAGCTCGCTGTGGGAGTGAAGTGTGAACCTGCTGGGTTATTCCTGCAGGTAGAGAAAGGTGTCCACAGGAATAATTAAATTAAATGAAATAGAAGAGCACAGCAGTCGGCAGAAAAAGCATGCTGTCAGAGGCTGTAACTGTAGAAGGCAGAAATCAGAAGGGATTGGGGGAATGTGAAATGACGACCCAGAGTGACGCACCACAAATGCCTCCTGGTAGGGAGACAGGGGAGTCGGACAGTCAGAGGGCCAGCCTACAGCACGTGCTGGAACTAGAGCACCTCACACGGGTGAAGTACCATGAAAACCTTTACACTGTATCCCTGACAGTCACTTCATAGGACTACAGTCAACCCGCTGTCCAGGTGGCTGAAGTCCAGCAGGTTAGGGTCAGAACAGAACAGAACAGGTGATTTATCTGCTGTCCAGGGTTAGGGTTACAGAACAGATGGTGTACCTGCTGTCCAGGGTTAGGGTTACAGAACAGAACAGATGGTGTACCTGCTGTCCAGGGTTAGGGTTACAGAACATAACAGATGGTGTACCTGCTGTCCAGGGTTAGGGTTACAGAACAGAACAGGTGGTGTACATGCTGTCCAGGGTTAGGGTTACAGAACAGATGGTGTACCTGCTGTCCAGGTGGCTGAAGTCCAGCAGGTTGAACTCCCTGTTGTCCTGAGAGTGATAGATAGTGTCCACATCCTGAGAGAGAGTCAGGTTACAAATATGATGATACCAGCAACAGCATAATATAACTCCATTCATTGAGTACTACATCAGGTGTATGTATTGTGATACAATTTAATTTTTTATTGTTGTAGTTTTTAGCCCCTTTTTCTCCACAATTTTGTGATTCCGATCTTGTCTCATCGCTGAAACTCCCCAACAAGCTCGGGAGAGGCGAAGGTCGAGTCATGTGTCCTCTGAAACATGACCCAATAAGCCGCGCTTCTTAACACCCACTCGCTTAAACCGGAAGCCAGCTGCACCAATGTGTTGGAGGAAACACCGTTCAACTGACGACCGAAGTCAGCCTGCAGATGCCCGTCCCGCCGCAAGTCACTAGAGCGCGATTAGCCAAGTAAAGCCCCCCCCGGCCAAACCCTCCCCTAACCCAGATGACGCTGGGACAATTGTGCGCCGCCCTATGGGACTCTCGGTCACAGCCGGTTGTGACACAGCCTGGGATCGAACCCCAGGCTGTAGTGATGCCGCAACACTGCTATGCAGCGCTTTAGGAGCCACTCGGGAGGCCCACAGAGTGGTATTCTTACCCACTGCACTTCCTCCTTACAGCCGATGCCATTATAGTCACACAGAGCTGCGTATGTCTCAGAGAAACCACCTGAGAGAGGGAGAGTGAAGAGAGGAAAAGGAGAAAAGGGTCAGAGATGAAAGAGAAACAGAGCAAGGGGGGGGGGGGGGATAAATATAAATATAAATATAGAGGTGAGATAAAAGACAACAGCATGAAAGAACTTAAGTTAAAAGAGATTAAAATGATAACTGATCAGATACAGTCATAGATTCATTATTTTTAAAGATAATAATTTTATGCTCCAGGTGAATTTAAATGTGTCACTGACTAAACAGAGTTTTATCTAGAAGATTGAGTGACTGATTGACTAACAGAGTGACTACTGACTGACTAACTGACTGAGTAGGCAGCTCACCACAGGTTTTCTGAGTCTCTACAGATGATTCAGAGTTTGGTGAAAACGTTTGGACTCCATCAGAGACGTCCCCCTCTGCCCGACAGATGGCCGGACTGAGAGAGAGAGAAATAAAGATATTAACAACTCAGTCAGTGAAAATATGGATATAGTACTTATTATGCATGTTTGTGGCGTGACTGTACTACTACATTAAATACACAGTGTCCTTAATCAAGTTGTATAGTAGATCCAACCCTACTACCCTACTGTGTGGCGTAATCTCTGACCCTGATCATCCTTAGCTCAATAACCATAACTAACCTTTAATCCATTACTTTAACCTAGTCTAGCTCCTTTAACTACAGTCTCTCTGGATCCTGTTCAATTATCTGATCTGCTGGAAAACAGTCCTTTTGGAAGATGATATACCTGTAGCTCAGTTGGTAGAGCATGGCGCTTGCAACGCCAGGGTTGTGGGTTCGATTCCCACGGGGGGCCAGTATGAAAAATGTATGCACTCACTAACTGTAAGTCGCTCTGGATAAGAGCATCTGCTAAATGACTAAAATGTAATGTACTTTGGATGAGCCTCTCAGAGGTCAATACCAAGAACACATTTTTTTGTGACTAACTGTTGTTGTTTTCTTTGTGTTTTTTTTCCTCAGGGGTTCAGATCACAGACCGGCAATAATATTCAAAAAGTACATACATAAAGAAACGAAAAACTGTAGAAAAAATAAAATAAGCATTATTTGTCCTGTCTGTCCCATCTCCCCTCGCCCTTTCTCATTCCTATTCCCCCCTCCTCCCTCGGGCTCATGTTGTGGACATATCTATGTATAAAACAAAACATCATGGGTAACTCATCTTATGTTTGTAAAATTGTTTGTGGGACCAAGGCTCACATCAATAGAATCAGCCTGCATACATCGATATTCGATACAGATATTCAAAATATAATTTATAAATTCAAACAGGATTACATTACATTAACTCATAATAAACGTTTGACCTTTTCGACTGCTTTATTGAACATATCTAATGTTTCCTTGGCGCTGTTCACACGAGCTATGGGCTTTAGTGAAAGAATGTCAAGGAAGTTTTGTAGCCATTGAGTTATGCTGAGCTTATGTGGAGGCTTCCATCTGGTCACTAACATTATTTTTGCCGCAGAGAGTCAGTGAAGAGTCATCGTTCAACAATAATATAAAATGGGTAGATGGGGCATGGCAGCACAGACAATTTGCGAAAGGAGCAAGTTTAAATTGGCAGCGTTTCCGCGGAGTCAAATAAAATCGCTGAATTCATTTGTAGTGTATTAGTTGATGATTATAAAATTTCGGAGGACATTGGGACATTGTTCCAGACTCTTTTCCAATCTGTATTTTGTTTGTAGTCTTTAACATCTGTATTCCATACCGTAGCTATTCCCATTGGTTTACGGAGGACTTCTACAGACTGAACACAGGAAATCCTGATGATATTAAGCTGCAGCCATGCTCTCTTCTTCCAGACAACATAGCAAAGTTGGTAGCAGTAGGGGATAGTAAGTTATAAGTAGGACCTAGAGTTTCTTCTTTTCAGGTCACATGGTCTAGAAAAACTCTTGGCCCTTGCTATGAGTAATATGAATAAAACAAGGGAGACTTACGCATACATTGAGTTGTTGAATATTCTTGAGAGGGCATAGTTGACATGGTTCATCATTTGATCAAGGTGGTCTTGTGACTGCAGTCTCAAGGAGTGGGTCGACTTGTCTGTGTCTATTACAACCTGAAAGGGGGAGTTGACATCATTGAGATGAGACTTCAGAGATCAGACACTCAAGCAGAGTAAAGGAAATTATCATTTCAGAAGTTGGTTGTCAGTTGACAAAAATCAGCATAGCTGAAACTGATTTATCCTGATTAACAAACATTCTTGGGAATATAAATGTGACTGATTCCCTTGAAGAATTTTTAAACAAATATTTATGGGAAAAGTGAAATGAGGCAGATGGTTGGTTGAGGGAATACAATAGTTTCTCACCTGATGCTCTGGATAAGTGTTCATTGCCCGAATCTCCAGGAAGTTGAAAGTAACCTCCATCTGAAATCCGATTGATAGTTATTATGGTGATCATGACCAAGTCTTCTCTTTACTGACAAATTATGATAATCTTCCTCACAAGCATCATCATTCTCATCATCATCATCATCATACTCATTATAATCAATTACAACACTATCACAGGTTGTGTTTTTCTCTAGCAGGAGGTAAGCAGGAGGTAAGCTTCTCATATGGTGTTGAGTAAAGCTTAACCATGTATTAGATCGTAGGTAGGTAGTTAGTTGTAGTTAGGTATTGTAGTTATTGTAGGTTAGTATTGTTGTTATTGTAGGTTTCCGTAGGTAATTCTAGGTTAGTATCGAAGCACGAGGCTAGCTAGCTAGCGGGTAGCTACTGGTAACGTTTAGCAACGGTGGAGAGCTGTTTCCAATGTTAATGTGCTGCTAGCCAACGTTTAATTTTTGCTGCGTTATGCGTTATGAAAGGAACTAGACACGGACATGAATTATCTGTTTAGTGTGCTAACACACTCTTGGCAGTTTGTTGTAACCAAGTATTGGTGCTAAACTGTGTGTTAATGGATGCTAGCATGCTAGTTAGCTATGGCGTCATAGCTAGGCATCGTGGGTTGTTGTGGGTAGTTACTGTAGGTTGGCAGTGTCTTCGGCCGTGCCGGCTGTAGCACGAAGCGAGCTAACTAGCCGTTTTTCGAACAGAGTCAGAGTCAACACAGTAGCCATTGTGTGCCGGGTGTAGCACGAAGCTAGCTAGCTAGCCGTTCTTCAAACAAAGTCAACACAGTGGCCATTGCTAGCTACCCAACACGACCAGCTAACTGTACTGTAGTAGCTAAATACAATATACTTGTCCTAGCTAGCCAACGTTTAATCATTGCTGCGTCATGAAAGGAACTTGACACAGACACGAATGATCTGTTTAGTGTGTTATCACACTATTGGTGTGTCTTGGCAGTGTCTTCGGCCGTGCCGGCTGTAGCACGAAGCGAGCTAACTAGCCGTTTTTTCGAACAGAGTCAGAGTCAACACAGTAGCCATTGTGTGCCGGGTGTAGCACGAAGCTAGCTAGCTAGCCGTTCTTCAAACAAAGTCAACACAGTGGCCATTGCTAGCTACCCAACACGACCAGCTAACTGTACTGTAGTAGCTAAATACAATATACTTGTCCTAGCTAGCCAACGTTTAATCATTGCTGCGTCATGAAAGGAACTTGACACAGACACGAATGATCTGTTTAGTGTGTTATCACACTATTGGTGGTTTGTTGTGACCAAGTGTTGGTGCTAAACTGTGTGTTACTGGATGCTAGCATGCTAGTTAGCTAGTTAACACACTATTGGTGGTTTGTTGTGACCAAGTGTTGGTGCTAAACTGTGTGTTATTGTTATTGGATGCTAGCATGCTAGTTAGCTATGGTGTCATAGTTAGCTAGCTGAATAAAGTGGGTTGAGTCTATTCCTTTAAACATTGAACCGCTGTGGTTCACAACAATTCTGATTTCTAAAGGTGGAAGTTGGGAGAGTTTTTGTTCGGGTGGTTCAGTGAAACAATTTTAGTTTCTGAGGTAGAAGTTTTTGGTGAGGGAGGCCCTGCTCTCTCCTCTCCCAGATGCTTAGCTCATTTCATTCCGATCTCCTCTGCATTTTTGTAGCCATTTGCTACAGCCTGTCAACTATGCCTCTGCCTATCCCTGTTCTCTCCTCTCTGCACAGGCTACACAAACGCACCACACCGCGTGGCTGCTGCCTCTAACCTGGTGGTCCCTGCACGCACCCCACACCTGGAGTTCCAGGTCGCAGGCAGCCTCTGGAACTGCCGTTCTGCTGCCAACAAAGCTGACTTCATCCCAGCCTATGCCAACCTCCAGTCCCTCGACTTCCTGGCGCTGACGGAAACATGGATCACCACTGAAAACACTGCTACTCCTACTGCTCTCTCCTCGTCTGACCATGTGTTCTCGCATACCCCGAGAGCATCTGGTCAGAGGGGTGGTGGTACAGGAATCCTCATCTCTCCCAAGTGGACATTCTCAATTTTTCCCCTAACCCATCTGTCTATCTCCTCATTTGAATTCCATGCTGTCACAGTCACTAGCCCATTTAAGCTTAATATCCTTGTCATCTATCGCCCTCCAGGTTCCCTTGGAGAGTTCATCAATGAGCTTGACGCCTTGATAAGTTCCTTTCCTGAGGATGGCTCACCCCTCACAGTTTTGGGGGATTTCAACCTCCCTATGTCCACATTTGACTCATTTCTCTCTGCCTCCTTCTTTCCACTCCTCTCCTCTTTTGACCTCACCCTCTCACCGTCCCCCCCTACTCACAAGGCAGGCAATACGCTTGACCTCATCTTCACTAGATGCTGCTCCTCTACTAATCTCACTGCAACTCCCCTCCATGTCTCCGACCACTACTTTGTTTCCTTTTCTCTCTCGCTCTCCTCCCACACTACTCACTCTGCCCCTACACAGATGGTAATGCGCCGCCGCAACCTTCGCTCTCTCTCTCCCACTACTCTCTCCTCTTCCATCCTATCATCTCTTCCCTCTGCTCAATCCTTCTCCCTCCAATCTCCTGATTCTGCCTCCTCAACCCTCCTCTCCTCCCTTTCTGCATCCTTTGACTCTCTGTGTCCCCTATCCTCCCGGCCGGCTCGGTCCTCCCCTCCAGCTCCGTGGCTTGATGACTCATTGCGAGCTCACAGAACAGAGCTCCGGGCAGCGGAGCGGAAATGGAAGAAAACTAAACTCCCTGCCGACCTGGCATCTTTTCACTCCCTCCTCTCTACATTTTCTTCATCTGTTTCTGCTGCTAAGGCCACCTTCTACCACTCTAAATTCCAAGCATCTGCCTCTAACCCTAGGAAGCTCTTTGCCACATTTTCCTCCCTCCTGAATCCTCCCCCCCCCCCCCCCCCTCCTCTCTCTCTGTGGATGACTTCGTCAACCACTTTGAAAAGAAGGTTGACGACATCCGATCCTCGTTTGTTAAGTCTAATGACACTGCTGGTCCTGCTCACACTGCCCTACCCTATGCTTTGACTTCTTTCTCCCCTCTCTCTCCAGATAAAATCCTGCGACTTGTGACTGCAGGCCGCCCAACAACCTGCCCGCTTGACCCCATCCCCTCCTCCCTTCTCCAGACCATCTCCGGTGACCTTCTCCCCTACCTCACCTCGCTGATCAACTCATCCTTGACCGCTGGCCATGTCCCTTCCGTCTTCAAGAGAGCGAGAGTTGCTCCCCTTCTCAAAAAACCAACACTCGACCCCACTGATGTCAACAACTACAGACCAGTATCCCTTCTTTCTTTTCTTTCCAAAACTATTGAGCGTGCCGTCTTTAGCCAACTCTCTTGCTATCTCTCTCAGAATGACCTTCTTGATCCAAACCAATCAGGTTTCAGGACTGGTCATTCAACTGAGACTGCTCTTCTCTGTGTCACGGAGACTCTCCGCACTGCTAAAGCTAACTCTCCTCTGCTCTTGTCCTTCTAGACCTGTCTGCTGCCTTTGATACTGTGAACCATCAGATCCTCCTCTCCACCCTCTCCGAGCTGGGCATCTCCGGCGCGGCTCACTCCTGGATTGCGTCCTACCTGACCGGTCGCTCCTACCAAGTGGCGTGGCGAGAAGCTGTCTCCGCACCACGTGCTCTCACCACTGGTGTCCCCCAGGGCTCAGTTCTAGGCCCTCTCCTTTTCTCCCTATACACCAAGTCACTTGGCTCTGTCATATCCTCACACGGCCTCTCCTATCATTGCTACGCTGACGATACACAACTAATCTTCTCCTTTCCCCCTTCTGATAACCAGGTGGCGAATCGCATCTCTGCATGTCTGGCAGACATATCAGTATGGATGACGGATCACCACCTCAAGCTGAACCCTGGCAAGACGGAGCTGCTCTTCCTCCCGGGGAAGGACTGCCCGTTCCATGATCTCGCCATCACGGTTGACAACTCCGTTGTGTCCTCCTCCCAGAGTGCGAAGAGCCTTGGCGTGACCCTGGACAACACCCTGTCGTTCTCCGCTAACATCAAGGCGGTGACCCGCTCCTGCAGGTTCATGCTCTACAACATTCGGAGAGTACGACCCTGCCTTACACAGGAAGCGGCACAGGTCCTAATCCAGGCACTTGTCATCTCCCGTCTGGATTACTGCAACTCGCTGTTGGCTGGCCTCCCTGCATGTGCCATTAAACCCCTACAACTCATCCAGAATGCCGCAGCCCATCTGGTGTTCAACCTTCCCAAGTTCTCTCACGTCACCCCCCCTCCTCCGCACACTCCACTGGCTTCCAGTTGAAGCTCGCATCCGTTACAAGACCATGGTGCTTGCCTTTGGAGCAGCGAGGGGAACGGCACCTCTGTACCTTCGGGCTCTGATCAGTCCCTACACCCAAACGAGGGCATTGCGTTCATCCACCTCTGGCCTGCTGGCTCCCCTTCCTCTGCGGAAGCATAGCTCCCGCTCAGCCCAGTCAAAACTGTTCGCTGCTCTGGCACCCCAATGGTGGAACAAGCTCCCTCACGACGCCAGGACAGCGGAGTCACTCACCACCTTCCGGAGACATTTGAAACCCCACCTCTTTAAGGAATACCTGGGATAGGATAAAGCAATCCTTCTACCCCCCCCCCCACACACACAGCGGAGTCGCTCACCACCTTCCGGAGACATTTGAAACCCCACCTCTTTAAGGAATACCTGGGATAGGATAAAGTAATCCTTCTACCCCCCCCCCCCCACCCCACAGCGGAGTCACTCACCACCTTCCGGAGACATTTGAAACCCCACCTCTTTAAGGAATACCTGGGATAGGATAAAGTAATCCTTCTACCCCCCCCCCCCCCCCCCCCCCCTCCCCCACACACAGCGGAGTCGCTCACCACCTTCCGGAGACATTTGAAACCCCACCTCTTTAAGGAATACCTGGGATAGGATAAAGCAATCCTTCTACCCCCCCCCCCACACACACAGCGGAGTCGCT